TTTGAGTGTTCGATGAAAAGAAATCAAAAGTTCATGCATGACAGGAGCTCTTGAAACAACAAAAGGCGCTTGCCTTTGAGCACGTCTCTGGCGTGAGGCTCCAGCTTTGCATGCAACAATTTTTCCTCAGCGGCAAGTTCCTGAGAACGTTGTATCATGCCTTTAAGCACGCGCACCCTCAACTGACTGAGCTGAACCGTGTCTAAGGAACAATACCTGTCAACTGCATGCTCTAGCATGGCCGGCAAGATGGGCTTGTGGCACTCTGGACGCACACTAGCCCCTGAAGGTCGCAGGAACTCTTCCGGCTGGACCGGTAGGCCCACCAGCGCCCACCAATTTCCATCGTGTTCGGAGACCGAAAGAGTGGTGGCTCCTTTGACAAAGGGGGCTTGAGTAATGCGTTTGCCAGGCACAAACGCAGACCTGTCAACACGCGCAGGGACTTTATGCCACACTTTGTTTGGGAAGGGATCAACCAGCGGGGGCATTTGGGATCCCCTGGGGAACAGACCCTGAGAAGCCCTTTCGATGCCAGTCTGACGCAAGCTGAGGTGTACTCTGCTGCAGGTGTGCTGCCCTGCTGCAACGTCCATGGTCATGCCTGCAGCCTGGCCTGCCTGCAAAACAAGGGACGCATACTGACTGCAAAGTCCTGGAGGGTATGCTGCTTCTTGGGACGTGGCCCACGTTCCATCAACTTGCTTGCCCCACTCCTTGTGAACATGGGCATACTCTTTTTGACAGGTGCAAGACAGGGCGGTCAGAGCATCGCATGCCGTCCAAAACGTCGTGCTCTTCTTCCTGTCACCTCCATAGACACAATTGCGAAAGGTCGCAAATCTAATGGCAGAAACATGCGTCCTCCAGAGTTCCATGAATGGAGAGGTTACCCACATGTAACTGCCTGCGGGGTTCTCTATGCGCCACCAGATGCGCAGTGTCTGGCATTTAACTGCAATGTTGACACAAAGCCTGTACAACTTGTTGGCCTGAGACACCCTGGTCCTGTTGAGGAAACCTAGGTTGAGAAGACCATCGGGATGATCCCACGACCTCAGTGGCTGTGGGTCCCACTTGTTGCGACGAATGCTCCTGGCTTGGCTACTCGTGCTGCACGGAGGAGCCATGTGCACAAGAAGGACTTTCTTGGTCTCAAGCAACCTCATCACTAGGCCCACTGATCTTTCATGCAACAAGTTTAGCTTAACAATCTTTATCTGAGGTGCATCCTTGGTGTCAACCGGAACAACCTGGACACCAATGTTTCTGAAGGCTTTGCTCAGGTTTCCCGAGCCCGCGAAGAGCTCGATGACCACGAAATCCTGAACTGGCCTGGCATCCTGCGCATGCGATGTGTGGTCCACACGTCCTTCCGCAGGTGCAGATCCTGGTTGGGACGCAAGCGGACCTGTGGGGCCTTCTGCTGGACAAACTTCTTTAGACACTGAGGGACTCATCGGAAAAGTTGCTGGGAATTGCCTGAGCCGGATCCGACTCGAGCGAAGGGCAAAATGCCGAGTCCTGAGGAGGAACCTGAACAAAATTGGCGTCAGCACAACGCTATTGAACAACAAGCTGCCTGCACGCACAAGCGCACCTTGCCCTAATCCCTACTTGTCGCAACCACTGGCTGAGTGAGGGCCATGACATTTCATACACAGGTGTAGCCCCTTCCGACAGGACGGACCAAGAGCTGTGTCCCATGTCTCCAACTGGCACCCGTGAGACAGACTATGGTCGAAACAAATCGGTTCCCCCTGAAAGTTCGGGTCCAGGCCTTTGAGAGGTGCAGGAACGTTGGTCTGAACCTTCTGACCAGTGCCCTTGCCTTTGCCTTTGGACTTGCCCTTGCCTTTACCTTTGCCTTTCTCCTGCTTGCCTTTGCCTTTGCTCTTATGAGTGGCGTACCAAGTGCGCTTTAAAGGCAACAGCTTGTCAGGCTTAGGGGGGAGAGGCATGGGATGCAAATGGAACAGGACCTGCGGGCTGCCCTTGAGGCTTTTCGGACACTTTCGCTAATTCTCACCCAAAGCTCATGGGGCTTGGTACCCGGGAGGTGGGTACCGATGAGCGTGAGCCAACAAAGACCTGCAATAGGCCTCATGTTCCTGGAAAGAGCACACGCCAGCGATCTCGAGCGCTACGCCTCTCCTGGTTAAAGCCTGCGAGATCCTGAGCTCTGAACTCACATCGACTTTTAAGTGGCTGGGGTTTGCTGGCCAACTTCAAAGCAGTGCTTTCCAGGCAGAGCAAATGTTCTTCCCTTTTTCCTGAGGACACCTCTTGCTCCCTGCTGGCACACCTGCTGGGAGGGATGTATGTGATGCACTGTGCCGCCGCCATCCCTGAACAGGAGTCCACTAGGCAATGAGCCGGCTCATACGGTCCTGTCAGGGCAAAGCTCCCAAGCTTTTGCTGAACTGCATTAAACCTGGAATCGCGTTCCTGCGGTGTGAGCCGTTTGACTCCTTCAACACGGGCGAGCTAATGGCATCCTTCAACTCCGCAACCACGAACGTCCCCGCTTCAAAAACGAGACGTTTTATGGCACTCTTACCTGAGTCTGTCAGGTTGGGCCTACATGAAGACAACAAGTCTGACAGCTTGCTGTCATCCACCTGATTGGGACCTGAGGCAACCCTGAAGAGTAACTGCCCGTAAGTGGCAACTCCCTTCTGCTTGAGATCTTCTACATGTTCCTGGCTCAAGCCGTACCGTTTGCACCTTTCTGCAAACGTCACTTTGGAGTCAGAGATGCCCGACATGTCCTGAAGAGTAGCAACTCTGTTTCCAACCACACACGCAAGCAAGTCCTCGGCGTGGCAATGGTATGGGCTGGACCCCTGAGACAAGACGACTGAGGTATAACGGGCCTGGACGTTCAAAGCATGCTAGTCAGGCCTAACTGCGCTGAATACGTGGTGCGGCGCGGGCTCTATCCTGTCAAGGGCTAAGCTGAATGAATGCACAAAAACGTGGTGGCTCCAGCCTGCCACTGGGACGCGTGCACTCAAGAGTGTCTCTGCCAGGGACTTCATGCGAAGCGTACATTCTAGCACATGGCCAGGCCTGATATGACCGCAAGGTTCAGCCACACCTGGCACGTCAACTTGCACCAGCAAGTTAGCCCCTGTGCCCAAAGTGCAAACCGGTTTGGCCTCCACAGCGCCAGGCACCTAGCCAGGTCGAGGGTCCACACTCCACAAGGAGGCTTTTGGACCCCCGCCTGGGACTGAAGGAACTGGGGAAGGCTGCCCACCTCAAGGTGAGCAGGTGACCCTTCTCCAAAGACCCGTGGAACCAGGGCCACTGCCAGCTCAAGCTGTTTAACCTGCACAAGCAGGGGTCGTGAGCTCAAGCTCAGAGATGCTGCAGGAAACAAAATAAAATCAAGGCCGGTACCTGAACCCAAGCTTCCCGGAGGCCCCCAGCTTGAGCAAAAGAGCCTAGCCCAGAATGCAGAAGCAGTTGTGTGCAAGGAACGTCAAATGCAGACACATGACCTTGGCTGCACAACACTTTTACGTGAACTGCACAAGTCCTGTGGCTCCTGAGTGTGGCTCCCTGTGTGAGCACTTACGGCTCGCAGTGGGAGTCTGAACAAAACTGAGGCGCCTGGGAGTCCTGAAGTAATGCATGGTTCACTGGGGGGCCTGCTATCCCTGGCGCCTGAGTGCCCTACCGAACCACCACTGAACCATCCTCACATCCTGTCTGTACCACTTAACGGTGGCAAACCTGACAGAAATGGTGGTCGTGGAGCTGCCTAGCCTCGGTACTCACTGGGCGGGAACATGCCCACCCACAGTGGGCTTGGCAGGACAGCAAGCAGTACCCGCCTATAGTAAAATTTCTGCGACGTAAAGCAAGGGGCAAGCTACGCTCACGACGAGGCCTAAGAGGGTGCAAAGCACTGAGCCCGTGTGCCGGCGGGAGACCTGCATGATGTCCTACCTTGGAGTACAGGGCATAGGGTGCCCCCTGGAAGAAATCCAGGAATTGGAATGCTCCTGGTTCAAGAGCATCTAAACCTGGAGGCATCAAGTTTCGGATGTCCTCCGTCCTGGTCGCACCTGTGTGGCGCACTGTTGGCTCCTGGCGATCATGGCCTGCTGCCACAAAAGGAATTGTGCCCGGCTGCAAGCCCTGGCTGTGCAAGACTGCTCGTCTCCGACCTTCTGGTCCTAGGCTGCCTGACCGCAACGAGCCTGTATCAGCCTGCCCCAGAAGCCCAGGGTGCCATCCCTGGTATTGTCCTGCGAGCCCTGGTAGCCTGAGTGACCCTGAGCCGCCTGACTGCCAGATTGGTCTCCAGAATCTCCTGCAACACCTAGCGTGGGCACAGAAGGGAATCTTGGCTCGGGAGCCCCTACAGGCAGCGGCGGAGGCCCAAAGCCTGTCGACCCCTGATCGTTCATGTTCAGGCTGTTTATTTCTCGGAGACCACTTTGACTGCCGGGGAACGGATCGAGCCCTGCATCTACTATGCCAGAACTGCTGGGTTGATCCTGAAAGTCCTGTCCGAGCTGCACCAGAAGGGCCAAGCGAGCCACCTCATCTCGCCTCAAGCCAGCTATAGCCTGGATACAGGTGTCAGAGTCTTCCAGCAGCAAGGAGCGCAACTGGCTCTGTAACCTGAAGGCTTCACTGTCCCAAGCCATGACCAAGGCCCTATCTTCTTCAAAAACTGGTGCTTGACCCAAAATGGCACCAGACACCATGTTTTAAGTGATGTTGACGCAAGCTACCAGTAAGTACCTGCAAGTCTTTCCAAGCAAAGTTATCCCCTGCAAACTTGTTCCACTTATGTTGGTATCGAGTCTTTTTTATGTAGCGGCCTTCGTTCGCAGCATATTGCCTCGATACCTCCTAAGTGAAACACTGGCATGCCAGTCAGCATCGCGAAAACCCTCAACCACATGCTGTGTAAAGAATGTTCAAGGAGGATAAATGTTGTGCTGAAAGTATGTTGAGAGCTGCATTTCCGTCTCAGGTGCTCAGGCTGCTTCCAGCTGTCCCTGGAATGATGTGAAGTCAAGCTGTCTAAGCTGCCAGAGAAAGATCCAACCCCCACCTCCCGCAACGCCCTCGCTGAAACGTTTCTAAACAGAGACAAAGCAATTGAAATTGGGGACTGGCTTGCACAGACATTTATCTACGAAAGCATTGAGCAACGTGTAGCAAAAGTTTGACGCTGCAAACGGACACCACCCCAGCCCATAAACCGGAACACCACGCCAATTGAGAGAGCCGATGCACCTCAGAGAACAGCGTCTCTTCAAAGAATCGGGCTTTGACAACGCGTCCTCCGAAGTATCTCCCGTTCATGTCTGCGAAAGCCTGCGAAGCCATAACTCCGCAAATGCACAGATGCCAAGCCTAAGCCTGCGAAATGCTGTGCCTTCGTAGCCGCTGCAACATCCTCGTACTCGAGGAAGATGCGAACAGCCTGACATTTTCTGGGATGTGCTTTACAGTGGAAGGAACTCAAGTGGTAAACTGCTGGAATCTGCAGGCTGCTTGATGCTGCTTGCAATATTCGCAGGTTTCGAAATATCAAGAACAAACTTCCCACTCCGAAGCCTGGTCATCAGGTTTGCCGGCAAGCTCTTTGATGACACACCTCAGCCGTGCAGCTCTTCAGAACGCAGCACATGCCGATATTTGGTGCTCTCGTTTGGCATTTAGGTCTACTCCAAGGGAGCAGCAATGAAGCCTTTGAGCTTTGCAGGCTTGCAGCTTTGTCACCGCAGGTGCGCAGTTGTAGGGCATGCTTCAATGTTTGAGTGGTCTAGAAACATGAGTTCCGCCAGCTGGCAAGGCGTTAAGATCAATCCAAGCTCTGGGTGTGGTCAAACAATCCCAGGGCAAAGAATGGAAAGAACAATACTTTCTGGGCTCATGTGATGTATGTCAAGTCTACTGCTTTAAACTAACTAATGTGGATTTTGAGCAATGCAAGGAACGCAGGGAAGGCCAAGGGCTCGGCTTCTTGAGTTTGCCGTATTTGCTGGCTTCCTCAGCCGTCTCCTCTTGGAGGTCCTCACAGCGCACAACGAAGCACCTCTGCCTCGGGCTGCAGGCAGCACGGCGCCTCGTCAACGTCCCCGGCACCAACCATGTTTGTCAGGAGAAGAACGCGTGTCGGTGGCCTGGGCACGTGAACAGTGAAGGCTGCCCTGGGATTGCGGCTTTGGCCCTCAGCTCGCAACAACTTTGGAGGCGCTTTGGCCTGACGAAGCATGTGATGGTCCCCGAGCAAACTGGAAACCTCGTCCCCCTCTTGCCCTCTGCCACCTGCTTTGCGTCTGGCTGATTAGGGGGCGGAGCAGCCGCCTTGCGCTTTGCTGACTTTAAGCTTTGCACTTCTGCGCTTGCTGGCAGCAGCTGCTGTGGGCCTCGCGCTTCGTCCCTTCAACAATGCGACCTGTCTTCTGATCCGTCTTTTGCATGACCTGGCCAAAGGAAGGTTTAGAGATGCAAGCGGAAGCTGCCATGCCAAATGCGTCAGGCCCACCAGCGGATTGACCATGCCCTGTCCTTCTTTTCCAAGCCCTGCACCATCCTTCCAGCCTTAAAATATCAGGAAACGGCATGTCAGAGGTGTCAAACCGAGCAAAGACGCTCCATCGCAGATGAAGCACCCATTTTTTTCATCATCTTTGTCGCAAAGTCATCCTGACCAAAAGAGACATCTACTAGTATTTCACAACATCTAGGTCTCAACGCACTTGCTGAATCGATGTGTCGTGGCACGGCACAGGCCTCCGCTGGTTGGGGTGCCTTGCTGGCCTGCTGCCGGGCCGCAGCCTCCTTCAATGCAGATCTCGAACACACAGTCGAGCAAGAAAACAGCAGGTTTCTGCGACTGGCTGCGACTGGTGCCTGGCGTCGTTTCTCCATTTCCTCTTCAGCCTTCTGCCGCATCCTTGTCCGATGACATGACTTCTCATGTGATAGCACGTTGATCCCTCGACCTGCGGCGACAGAACTCATCGTAATCGTTCGGCTTGGCTGGGTCATACTCCTGCAGCCACTGCATGACACGCAAACTGCAGTTTAAATCAAACAGCTGCTGCGGACAGCGCCTACCTCGTTGGGATCTCCAAAGAGACTTGCAGCCTTGAGTCATACGTCCATAATGCACCCAATGTAAGAGGCACACTGATATGCGAAGAGTCAAAGCAAACGCAGACGAAGTGCAAGTGGTTCGCTCAGCGAAGTTGCAGAAGCCACCTCGGCAGGCAACATGCTTGGCAAAGAGCTAAGCAAAGGGTATCTCAGACTCAGCCACTAGCTGCTGCAGAGTCGTTGTCTGCCGGCTTTGCCTGAAGGCTTCAAAGCCAGGGCACGTCTCAGCTACTTGGAAGTCTGAGGACAAAGCTGAGCTGGATACGGCCTGGCTTGTTGGCAGCTAGGGAAGCCGGAGTTGACTGACTGGTACCAGCCTTGTTTGTCTCTGCGGCCGCACGTTGCTTCATCAGCGCCTCCTTCTCCTCACAGCTTGCAAGAAAAGAACTGCCAAGTCCCACTGGGCTGAATTTGGTCGTCTTCTTCATCCTCATGATGCTGACTCCTCAAACAGAAGCCTGAGGGCTAGCTCACGGAAATGAATCCTGAACACCTAAACCCAAGTTGAGCAGGCTTCAAGGGTTTTCCGGGCAAAGCACGATCGATTATGTTGGTGCTCGTCAACATGGACAAACTTACTACCAATTGAAAGATCACAAATCAAAAGTTGTCCGCATTCATCGCATCTACATCCATCTTGTCCTTTTGCACCCGAAGATGACAAAACCCTACGGTTTGGAGGTGGGCTATATTTCCTGCCTCACAAAAACGAATTTCCTGTGACACCAGAAGCTGAGGAACTGACCGCCGCAAGTTTGGAGAGGTCCAAGGCTGGAAGAGAAGGCCGCCTCGCTGGCTCAACCTGCAGCTCGGGCCGCATGAGCCCTGCCGCTCTGCTTACAGCACATGACAATACAAGGAAGCAGCCTTCTTTCGCACCGGTGGCATCATCAACTTCGCGGCGGAGAACGTCTGCAAGAACATGACGGCGAAGGGTAAAAGAAATGTTGCCAGCTCCCTGACAGGCGCCTGTGGCAGCGGAGTGCTGCTCGGCTGCCCCTTCATCCTCCAGCTGCCAGTTGGGTTCAGAGCGGCCGTTCTGAAAACCGGAACACCCTGCAGCCGGGTCTGAGGGCGGTGCTAAAGTGATTCAAGGTCTCTAGAAACCTTGACCGTCTATCAGTCCCCAATTCTTGTAGAACCAGGGCGCCTTACGCTTAGGCCTTACGCCAAATGCTGCGGGCCTTGTACGACAAGACTGCTTTTTGTAGCTTGTGATGGCAGGTTTGAGGTCCCAAAAGCCAACCTTGATGCTCATCCCCTATGACGGGCCAGGCAAGCCGTTTTTCTACAAAGGCCGGTGCCTACTCGATATGGCCACCAATTGCCGACTGCCCTTTTTGATGCATGGAGCAACTGCAGACTGTCTGAATTTGTGTGATTGGTATCATCCTTCTGGTTGGCGTGAAGCGCTCGTTTCAGCCTGAGTGTGTCAGGGCATGCTCTTTCAACATGGCTCAGGGATCTATGCAATTCATACAGCCAAGGCAGACACAGAGTATCAGGATAAGCTGCAAATGCTGCACCAGGTGAGGTCTGCAAACACCAAGCCTAAGCTGTGCAACATGTGTATTGTCGATCAACGGGTGACCCACAGCCGGGGCACGTGCAGACAAGCAAAGGACAGGGAAGAAAGGAGTATGTACAAATCTAAACGTTTGACAACATCTGCATCGAAGCGTTCTACAGTGCTCCACAGTTTGTGTGTGATGTTGCGTGGGCTTTTCATGCAAATCCGTAACAGCTCTTTTGTAATGTTGTAACGCTCACTCCCAGTCAAGGCATACGGAAATTCGGCACTTGCTACTTGCGCCTAGGGCTTTGACAGAAATCGAATGCTGTGGAATAAGCCTGGCTTCGAATGCATGCAGCAACATGCAATCAATGAGGTGTAAGCAACGCTGCAGCGTGCACGTTGAAATCACCTATCAATCAGAACTAGAATGATCTATCTGGCATAGGTTGATTGCTGGTACCAATGAGCATGCCAGGGCAGTGAACATTGAGAAAAAAGGGTTGATGCAACAACCAGCATGATGTTACTGTACAACTACCAACCGGACATGACGTTGTTCCGACAAAGCCTCTTGCAGAAAGAATCACATTGGACCCCCCCTCTCCCCATCCAAACCTACGATTCCTGTAAACGATCACGCAGATCCATGAGTTCCCCCCACATCCTGTGATATAACACGCGTTACGTCGTTTTCCAGATCTTGAAGGCTACTACTGACTGCTAAAGCAAGACTAAACTCAAGCCTAGCTCCGCTAGCTTTCGTGATTACGCTTCGGTCCCAGCATGCCTGAACCTAAAGAAATGGCTAGACAAAAAGGATTGGTGCTATTTCCTACAGAAGCTTACATGCCCATGAATGCCAGCTTGGACATGCGAGGACGATATGCACGCTCATAATCAACTACTGCACAGAACACAAAGAGTTGCTGCATAACAAAGGGCCGGTCAAGAGGAGCTTCTGCTTCGATGTGCTTCCATCATCAGGAAGACGAGTCTTCTTGGATGCTTCCACCTAATTTGTGGAGTGGCAGCATACAGGCCGCGTAGGAAGGCAAAAACACAAAGGATGGAAAGCATGTAAGGTGCGCATGTTCCATGACTCAGCACACACGTCTCTCTTTCCCTTTGCTCATGAGGTCTGCAGCTGCAAGGCCCAGTCTACGAGGTGTAAAGTATAACGCTTTGGGTGGCCTCTAACTCTAACAGCACACCCTCGGCTTTGCAGGGGCCACCTTGGGCCTCCCATGCATCTCCGGATTGTAGATCTGCTTCTCGGGGCGCAGGAGTTTGGGAAAAATGGCCATAGAATGGGGATAACTCCCCCACGAGTGCCCACTCACAGATCCATGGTCCATGATAATGGCAACTCAGTCTCAAACAAGGGCGAACAATGCTGAGTACGCTTTGCCTGTGAGACTGTTGCTACGTAGCTGCTGAAAGGCCTTCCGCTCACTTCGTCAAGTGTCCTGCTCGCGGCCAACTACCAGCCAACAACCGGAACTTCCAGGAGGTATCCGTTGGCCCTACTTCCAGCACGTCCTGGAGGCCGATGACAGAGTATGGCCAGAAGGACACAAACTGTGGCTGCCGACCCGACTCGTCTGCAACTTTACCTTGCGACGGTCAGGGCCAATCCTATCGCATTTGCCATGAGTAGTACGAAATGCAACCACCTCTAAATTCCAACCCACAGTGATCCGTGGCCATTGGGCACATTGGGCTGCAAGAGGCGCCTGTAGCTTGCGTTGCAGTAGGTGTCTGATGGGCTCGGCTGATTCCAAAAAAGGGATATCCCTTAAACACACCAACATACTGGAGTAATTGCGTGCACAGCGGGAGACACCCCCCAGTTGTTGGAAACCCTTACTTGGATCCGCCTGATTTGCGGCTGAGCTGCTCGAGCCACGGAATTGGGTGTGGCAAAGGCTCCTCACAACTGCTGGAACATCTTCAAACAAGAAAGCCTGGGAAGCAGGGGTTCAACACAGTTGGGTGCAGCAGGGGCTCTTGAGCACGCGGAGGCCGTCCACCGTGTTGACGCGTGCCCAGAGATTCTGCGCCTGAACTTCACCAGACCAGGGTCACACAGCAGGAAGCTCTCAAGCTGTGCCGGCACCTCCCCTTCGGCATCGCAACGCTCCAGATGGTAGCCCGGCACACGGACGTCAAAGTGATGGATGTGGTGGTACTCAATGCCATAGGAGAAGACCTAGCAAAAGGTGCCAGAAGTCCGAGGTTGAAAGGAAACCCCGAGAGCCAGGCCGAAATTGGCCAAGGAAGCGGTATCCTGGCAACGGCTCTCAGACTAGCACATCTGCTCACGCCTACGCCGGACCGCTCTCATGTTCAATTCACACCTGCTTACCTTCCAGTGCTGTAAAGACTGTGAGCGTATCGTCGCGCCTCGTGCTGCCGAGGAGGGCTGCGTCCACGTGGTTCCGGGCAGAATCATCCTCGCAACCTCATGTGGGGTGAGGGATCATTTTGGAACACCGAATGTCGTCATTTTGGAACACCAATTTAGACAGGGATCATTTTGGAACACAAGATATCTAATTTTATCATCGCCCCATCAGTCCAAGCTTCGCACGGGTAGTCCAACAATCGTTCGAATTAGTCCAAACTACGGCCCATTAGTCCAAGGGTGTGAGGAGCTCTGATTTTTTATCATCGCCCCATTAGTCCGTGCTTCGCCCCATTAGTCATAGGTCCAAGGATCGTTCCAAAGTATTTACAAGCGCTAGATGTCCACGGCATGTTATTTAACGCCTACCATCCCTTTGGTAGGGTGGAAAACCTGGAAACCCTGGAAACCACGGCGACCATAGAAACCATAGAACCATGGAAAACATCGAAACCATGAAGATCATAGAAACCATAGAAACCATAGAGGCCACGGAAACCATCGAAGCCATAGAAACCGTAGAAACCAGGTGAACCATAAAAAATGGAAACCATGAAAACCATAGAAATCATGGAAACCATGGAAGACATAGAAACCGAAGAAACCAGGCAAACCATGAAAAAAATAAACCATGGACACCATAGAAATGATGGAAACCATGGAAGACATAGAAACCGAAGAAACCAGGCAAACCAGGGAAACAATAAACCACGGACACCATAGAAATCATAGAACCATGGAAAACACAGAAACCATGAAGATCATAGAAACCATGGAAACCATGGAAGCCATGGAAACCATGGAAAGCACGCAAACCCTGGAAGCCGTGTTGACAGCCACTGATCCGTATTCCAAATTGATCCCCTTGTCCACGTTCCAAAATGACACCAATTCGCGTTCCAAATTGACCCCAGTCCCTGAAGGAGCAAGGACTCAAGAAACCAAAGTCTTGTTCTTCTTGGCTGAGTCACATGCTAGTTCTGTGCGAGCACTTTACTGTACATCGATGTTGCATACTACCAAGTGCAAACAACACGGAAGTTCTGGTCCAGCAAATAATGGTCGTTACTTCTTCCTCAGTCAGGCGGCGGTAGGGGGTGTTGCAGTGGTGCTGCAGATGGAAGAGGGCCACCCCTGCATGTTAGAGCTGCTGCCAGGCAGGGCATCAAGGCTGCAGCAAACGAAGAAACACAAATGCACAGCCTGGCCTTTCTTTCCTCAGGCAAACCTCTACAGATATATTAGACTGTTAGGTGCTTTCCCTGTTAATGAAAACAGATCCACCTACCATCAACTAACAGCTGGGCTTACCGGTGTCAGCACCTATGGCACCGCCGATCCAGGAGGCCAAGAGATAAGCAAAGAAGGTCTGGCTGCCCAGGAAGAGGTACACCTGAAAAGAAGGCAGACTGCAGGCACAGACACCGAAGAGTGTCTGATACTCATGGCCGGCTCTTGCAGAAGGTACAAACGTTGATTTTGAGCCTTCCAGCCCAAAGCAATCAAACAACAAGTGCAGTCAAGAGGCCAACAGAGGAACGACCGTCCGGTACGGGGCATGCTGAAGGGGCTTGTTCAGGAAAAACCTGGGTCAGCCGGACAATCCATTGTAGTCAGCTGGGACAGACAAGACCTTGCAAAAGGAGGAAGTCCACAGAGGAATCCCAGGTCTGCTGAGCCCCCGGCACGTAGAGGCTCGCCAGCGGGTAGAAAAAGATCCTCAGTAGCTTTGGATGCAGTTGCACATCACATGCTCACGATGTTGTGCCCCGAGCAACATTTAGCCTTGCGTTTTTGCGTGGCAAGTCTTGCTGCCAAGACTCGGGTCTCGGATGATGCGATGCGCCAGCCACTTCCACCACGGAGCTGTCAAGGATTGGAGCTTTCCAGGCATGAGTGGAGCTGGGGCTTCGGAGTCTTCGGGCAGAAGCACGCATTCTGTAAAGCCTGCAAAACTGCTGGAATGCCGTCGAGGAAAACAAACGTTTCAACTGGGGAACGTCTACCTCTTCTTTTTGAGTCACCACGGTGCAGCAACGAGACTAGAAAAGCGGTCAGATTGCAGCGAAGAGTTCAGAAGTTTGGAAGTGCGGAGATGTGCCCTTTGGACTGCACCAGAAAAGCTGTCAACACTTCTTCTTTAGGTTCAGGGCTGTCCTGCCCGAAGAAAAACCATGACAACAGCGAAAAATGCTGGGGTCCTTCTGCCAGCTCATCCTCTGAGAACCAAATTGTGAGCCTCGAACAAATCTTAGTTGGGAGACATGAGACAGCATGAGCATACTAGAAGCAGCTATTCGGGATGCTTCTTGGAGCACTGTTGAGCAACAACCAGAGATTCCGTCACTTCAGTGTTTTGTGCCAGGCAGCGAGTGGTCTTTGACTGTCTTGTCACCTTGCAGCTGTACTGGGTAAAGGCACTTGAAGTCGTGTACCTACTCACGTCTGGAACCTACCAGCCCGCAAAATTGAAAACACCCGGAGAAGCGGCGTGTGATTTCACAGAAATTCAATTGGAAGGAAGCCTGGAGCCACAACAGCCCCACTCCACACCCTGATAATGATGGAACTGGAGGCTCGAACTTTGAAGCATCGCTGCTTATGACTGCTGAAAAAATGGATACGTTCCGAAGTCCTTGCCCCCAACAATGGAGGCAGGATGCCAAAATGACTGTGATGAGAGTTGTGGATCTCGGTCCACTCATCCATACCTTGGCATGCAACATTGGTCCAAAAAGACATGCTGCTGGCTCTATAGCCTTGCTTGAGCCAGAGATTAGGGGCTACCAACCCATTGGCCAATCCCCAAGAGTGGAGGCTGGGAGGGAGGGAGACTAGCAGGAGGATGTCGGAAATAAAGATTACAGAGACTTCCAACAGAAAGTCCGGAGTGCTTCGCACACCACAAAGCCACACCTGAGAAAATCAACCAGTCCTCGCTAGACGTAGGACGGCTTTACTTCAGCTTCCTCCAAGGCACTGTAGTTTCCAAAGAACTGCAAAACCTGTGCCAGCCTCAGATGCTTTCTGCAAAGCAACTTGACATTTGGGAGCTGGGATAATCCAATATCCATGGCTTGTGACATTGTAGATATGCGTCAAGTGTGGCCAACCATCAGAGCTGAGGCATCAACTTTCGTGAATGTGTTTTTAAATGGCTTCTCCATGGAGGAACCTTCTTACAACTCTACCGCATGCCGCAAGTTTACGGAATCCTTCAGCCATGCATCCAAGACTGCCGGACACACAAGAAACCTGAAAGGATGACCTCTGCGTGTTGCTGGTTGTTGCTCAGGACCCTGAATCTCTCAAGCCTGTGTACTGTCCAACTGCTCAGATAGAAACCTGCGAACGCTCCACTTTCCCCATGCCATGTTTTAGGGTCTTCCATGGGTGTCACCCGGCAACACATTCTGCCGGAATATGTCGGAATATCATCTGGGATAGTGGTACCATTCCCATGCCACGTCACACTGGGCTGATTTTTAGCATCGTTCGCCCTTCTAGATCCTGTAACACACAGAACCACCCTGTCCAGTGCCATACTGCCGGATCCAATCCGTATGCTGAAGCTGGTTTCTGGTTATCAAGGTTGCGCTGTGAGCTTTGCAATGAACGTGGCACGCAAGGCTTGCTGCAAGAGCTACACTACACAACCCGGCCGAATGTTAATGCTGCTCAGCACGCCCACAAACTCCAGTGAGCCAAAGCAATCAACTGAAAACTGTTGTGCTACATACGAGTAGCCGTTTGCTATCTTCCGCTCGCTCGAAGAATGAGCAGTGGCAAGCATCGTGGAAAACCTGGAAGCAGGAAACAGACGAGGGACTCAGGGAGTCCAACTCTCTGAGGCCTGACATCATGATCAGACACTACTCAAGTGCTTAAAAGCATTCAGGCTCTTGGCCGCTACTCCACCCAGAAAACTTTGAAATGGAAATTGACGAGGTCAGACTTCAAAACCCAAGCATGCAGCGCAGAATTTGCCATGAGGGAAAAAAAAGCTGCTAGGGTTCTTCTCATTTCCTGGCCATATCTGCAAACATCTTACCTCCAACATCACATCCTGCAACCTTCAGGGCATGCACACGCGCAGGGCTGAAGCTCTGCAACCGTGGATAGAGCATGGGCGTATTCATTTCTTACTCCTTGCCTCCACCAAGTTGCGGGCAAATATATATATATATATGCTCACC